GGGCGCGGGTTAGTGGTCAGCAACACGTCCAGGGAGCGACTGCCCGTCCTCCTCGCCCGCCCGGCCGGCCAGTCCCGGCCCGCCGACCGGTCACCGCCGGAGGCGCCGAGCGGCACAGGTACGGTATCTGACAGTAGCGGCAGAGACTGTACACTAGGGTATATTAGAAGAATTCAAGGGAGGAATTTAAAGAACGAGGGTATAGTTTGGGTATGTTCGAAGAAAATGATCAGGGTGTTGTTTTAGACCAAAACCCCTGATATGCTTAAAAGGAATCATTTGAGGAATCATTTGAGTATCTTAAGGGCATTCCGCCAGGAAAACGGCAGAGTTATAGGAGCATGACACACCATGATCAAAGGGAATAGAGAATCGTTTTGGTTTTCAGTGTTCTCCTACATGTGTTCCCATTTTCCTGAAAATGAATGGTTTTGTTTTTGTCCAGGTCACTGACCTATGACGTCATAAGTGAACCTCTGCACGGTCATCAGATGTCGCAACTTCGCAACGCCCTCGGTGCCAGAGGAACTTTCACGGGGAGATGAATTTTACATAACGTAGTATCCTCCAGAGGTCTCACAACTTTTTTTCTCGGATTTTTCCTAAGGGTCACATGAGGCCAGGTCGGTCACGTGACCTCACCAATTTAACCCTCGCCCGTAAACGGTGTTTTGCCACCTTCGCCCATGCAGGGGGGGGGGGGGTTGGTGCGACCCCCCTGGCGTTTGAAAACAGAGCGTCGTAGAGCTTAGCGGAAAAGACCAACGGATTGCTCTCAACGAGATCTCGCGATTGGTGGTATATTTTTTGGTCCTAGGTCAACATTTGACCTACTTATGACCGGTCAAAGGACAAATTTTCGGACAAATCTAACTTTTTCAGATTTCCGCGCCGATTGCGGCAAAACGGTAAGAGATATCGACTTGAAACCTTCACTATCGTGATCCTTGATCAATTCTCTATCGTTTGGTGTATATTTCGATGTCATAACTCTAAAAATGATGCGTTGGGAGCATCGGAAGTCTGCAAGGTCATTTGTGCATTGGGTCACGTCAGGCGTGTGACGTCACTGACCTGACCCTGACCCAAAATGAACTACAAGAAACAACCGACGATGCCTGAAATGGATAGCAAATTCGAATTCAGGGCATCAAAATACCCCGAAAAGGCATACAAGTGCAAGAAGTCATTACAGGTCAACCGAGGTCACTGACCTTACCTTGACCTTTAGTAACCTTCAAAATGTCAACGGACATTGTGCCAATGTCAAATCAGCCAGTTGTGATTCTAAAACAATCCATCAGTGTGTCAGGTCAGTCGGCATTTATACCAATGTGAAGCAATCTCCAATTTAGCGTAAATCCGGCCGGGGGTTGTTCCCTTTATGACGTCATAACTCCGTGACCTGACATGACCTTGACAAAAAATTTTACCAAAAGTTGCGCAAAGGATGCCCCAAAGGGTACTGAAAATTTGAGCAGGCTATCTGAAACGGTTCGGCGTGTAGCTAAGAAAAACCTCAGGGGGGGGGGTGCACCAACCCCCCCTACATGGGCGAGGGATAAGTCAATGGGGAAAATGAGAACCACTATTTTGGCGCCCGGAACGATCTCAAACTATCTCAAGCACACGGCTTTCTGATTTCATGCACTCTTTGCAAGGTCCGATGCTTCACTTTCCCACGGTCACGAGAGTTTTTCGTTAATAACTTCCGATCGAATTGAGCTAGCGAGTCGGGAAAGCCACCAGTGGACTCGGGCAGACCTGCCGGATCGAATGGTATGCAATATGACGTCATTGGAACAACTCCCTGACCTGGAGGATTCTGACCTTACCTTGACCCGAGCTAAACATCTCAACTTGACCTCACTCGAACAAAAAGTATACCATTCCACGCACCTGAGTGAGGCAAACACGATGAAGCCAAATTCGCGGCGATGCACCCGTTTTTTTGCGAGGTGTTAGTTACCAAAAAACGAGCCCGTTGCTTGAGCCACTTGACCTGATCTCAGAGGTCACCGGTTGACCTGAGACCTTAAATTCGGGTACCAGTCGCTGCGTCTCGTAATGGCGCATACGCTCGTTTTTTTTCTGTGACGCTCTATCTCCATCAGAGGCGAAATGGCTAGGGGACATACTTCTCTCTGCCGGCGCGATATGTAGAAAACCAACAGGTCCGGCGAGGGTTACCCTTCGCCCCAGTGCAGTGGTGGTGGTGGTGGGGGGGGGGGGCATATGTTACCACCCTGTCGCGTTTTCTGCGTGTGAATAAAAAACCGCGGCGCCTAGCGCCGCGCCGTTTGAAGTAGCTTTTTGTACATCAATGTTGGACAATGTGTGAAATTTTTGACCCCAGGTCATGTCAGGTCAGGTCACCAGGTCAAGTTAACTGACCAAGCCTAAAGAAGTTTGCAATCATGTCCAGCCTGCACTGTTTGTTGGAGAGGTTTTAAACTTTGTGGATTGCATGATGTTATGGGCGCCTATAATTTTTATGTCTCGAATTTTGTATGTCCGTGACCTAAGGTCAGGTCAGTGGCGTGACCTTTCCATTATAAGTCAATGGAGAAAAACGAAAATGCCTCTAGATCCGTGTGTACGCATAGGAACAGTCCAAATATTTCAGAATCACAATGATCTGGACCAACCGTGACGACCAAGGTGTCTTTTTTACTGATAGCCTCTAGAAAGGTCATCCGAGGTCATTTGAGGCTACAAACAGATTTTTGCCAATAACTCTCGATTGGAAAGAGATAGAACGCTTGGGAAGGCCTCATTGTGTTTGTCTTGCCGAGACGCATCGACTTATATGCAACATGACTTTTTCCGGTCAGGTTATGACCTTGACCTGAGGTCAAATTTTCAAGTTGACCTTTCAAGGTCAAATTATAGTTCATTCGACGCGTCTCGGCGAGAGGAACACGATTCTTGCAATAGAAATGTCGTGGCGTTTTTTTAGTCAAAAGGTATTGCCAAAAAACACTTCGTAAAAACAGCTACTTTTGGAGTTTTGGCCTCATGGAGGCTAAACCACTGACCTAAGGTCATTTTTGATGATGACCTTATCAAAAGAAGAATTCAAAAGCTATCGACTGCTTTTCCAAGCGTTTTTCTAGCTATCATAGTCCCTGAGATAATGGCATGTTTTCTGAAAAATATAATGACAATTCACAAATTTTGAACTTCGATGACCTCTGGTGACCCCAATATTGCTCTAAGATGAAAAAGGACTGAAATACTTTCAAACGTACGCATCGAGAGCTTTCGACTGCTTTTTACCGTTTAGGTTTAGGAATTTAGTAAAAGGTATCAAGAGAAATTCAAGCTACGAAGTACTATGTCACACTGCCAGACTCGTGTCCCGATCCGGTCCGGGTCAGAGCAGCCGGCCGGTCCGGCCCGGGTCAGAGCAGCCGGCCGGTCCGGGTCAGAGCAGCTCCGCCGGCAGGCCCGGCCCGGGTCAGCTCCGCCGGCAGCTAGCTCTGCGCCCGTCTCCCGGCTGACCGCTAGGCGCGCCACCGCCAGCAAGGCCCTCGTCACCGGCCATTGTTGCCAAATCTGCGAGTCTACCGACTCTGTTGCCAGAGGGGAGGGGAGGGGAAGGGGAGGGCTGGCCGACGCGGACCGGAGGAGGCTGCAGGTGCCGATGATTGCACAGGAGAGAACACGGCCGATTCCGACTCGTTGTCATATACGCTATACGGTATACAGCATACACTACACACATATACACGTGCGGGGAACGGGACTAGAGAAGAGCGCTGCACAGTTCTGCAGTACCTCATCACTGTGCAGGCGACTGGGAGGGCACTAGATATACCAATTGCAGAAAATCGGGATACCGATACCAAATCAATACCAACGAAAATCATGCAAAAATAACGATACCGAAACAGCCTGGGAATGTCAGGGAAATGCCAATTTTTTACGAACTTCACAGCGTCAATAGTGAGGATTCATAATACTAACAAACTACCAAAAACATAGGAGGATCGGAATAACAAATACCAAGTTGGTATCGGTTTGGCATCAGTAAACCGAAAAGGTTGGTATTCGATTGACATCTGAAGGTACGATGGCACTCGGTATATGAACGGACCACCCAGATGGATTCGATTATCGGCAGCCTCTCAGTGCAGTCCGACACTGGTATGGGATCGGTAGGGCAGCCTCTCAGTGCAGTCCGACACTGGTATGGGATCGGTAGGGCAGCCTCTCAGTGCAGTCCGACACTGGTATGGGATCGGTAGGGCAGCCTCTCAGTGCAGTCCGACACTGGTATGGGATCGGTAGGGCAGCCTCTCAGTGCAGTCCGACACTGGTATGGGATCGGTGGGGCAGCCATTTAGCGGCGTCAGTCGGCCGGAGTTGCCGGTGGCAGGGCTCGCGGCGACCGCCAGCCGGCGGCAGAGACAGAACAGTAGCCCCAGTCGGCCGGAGGGAGCCGCCGGTGGCTACTGCTGGCAACGGCGGGCCGTGACATCCCCCGCCGACCACGTCCTGGACACTGTCCAGCCCCCCCCCCCCGCCGCCCCTTCCCCCCTCTGACGGCCGGCAGCCAGCCCGCCCGCCCGACCGCTCTCTGGCCCCGCCGCGCCGGTCCGACCTCGCCGGCGAGTGGAGTGGACGTGAAGATTGCCAGAGACCTACCCGCCCTGGTAACGGATCCCCAGAGGCAACCGAGACACTACGGAGTCGATTGAAATGCTCCTGAGACGACTAGGACGCACCTGAGTCGGCTGGGGCCCGCCTGAGTCGACTGGGGCCCTCCTGAGTCGGCTGGGGCCCGCCTGAGTCGACTGGAGCCGCCGGAGTCGACTGGGGCCCGCCGGAGTCGGCTGGGGCCCGCCTGAGTCGACTGGAGCCCTCCTGAGTCGACTGGAGCCCTCCTGAGTCGACTGGGACCCACCTGAGTCGACTGGGGCCCGCCTGAGTCGACTGGGGCCCACCTGAGTCGACTGCGGCCCTCCGGAGTCGACTGGAGCCCTCCTAAGACCCACCTGAGTCGGCGTACGTCTCGGAGCCGTAGCCGTCCTGCAGGCCGTTGGCCCAGGTGCCCTCGTATTTGGCCGAGGAGGTGGTCGACTGGCGCACGCCGTAGCGGCCCTTGAAGCCCTGGGTCCACTCGCCGCGGTAGATCCAGCGGCCGCGCGTCTCCACACCCAGACCGTGGCGCCGCCCGTTCTGCCAGTGACCCTCGTACGTGCTGCCGCTGAAACGTCCGGCCACATCAGGTCAGCACAGGTCAGCAGAGCTCACCAAAACGCAGACAGCTTTTACCTAAAGAACCTGCTCTCAAATAGAAAGCTAGATTTTTCCCGAGCAGACATTGACAAAACAATTGCAGCAAAAATAAAACCATACATTTGTAATGAATTGGGTCAGTGAAAAATACGAAGTATTTAGAACTAAACTGAATACTGATATATTTATTTCATCAAGGTTAAATATATATTCATAATTTTTAATTGACGGCGGTATGCACGTAATGCTGAGGGCACGGGAGCGAAGGCACATACACGCATTGGCGCCTTTATGTCAATGCGTGTATCTGTATGGTATGCAGCACCAATGTGAATATGTTGTAAACCAGTATATAACGCCTTTTGGGGGCGACTAACGGAGCGAGCGAGAGGGTGAGCCTTGCACGTGCGAAATTTCGAGGGGTTACTTCCAACTGACTTATGCACGGCATCCTACTAACCGGTCTCTAGTGATGTGCCAAATTTGAGCACAATCGGCCCATAGCCGTTCTCGAGATCTGGAAGCGACACCGTGCATGTGCGCATGTGCAAAATGAGTCCCGACTGACTTTTGCACGGCACCCTACTAACTGGTCCCTAGTCGTGTACCAAATTTGAGCGCAATCGGTCCGGCCGTTCTCGAGATCTGGAATCGACCCCTGCACTTGCGCACGTGCAGCAGCACCCCAACTCTGACACATGGATATGCATTGCCTAGCGGGTGCCTACCTACAAGCTAACTTTCAGCGCAATCGTCCCAGTAGTTACCAATACCAAGATATTGCAATTGTTACAAAAGTGACACCTCTTCGTTTTGCACGTGGCACGTTCATAAGAGGTCATCCACATGCATCGGGAATAGTCTAATACTTGGTAGAAGAATTGAAGCTACCCTACAAAAATTACCGCATGTAAATCGGTCAAGTGGTTGCTGAGATATAAGCCTCGCAAAAGCGTCGGCCGGCCGGCCGCTCATACTCAGAAATTTCCGTTAATCTAAGGAAAGACTACGCTCGCTTCGCTCGCTCCGTAATAAATTCTCTCTCTCTCTCTCTCTCTCTCTCTCTCTCTCTCTCTCTCTCTTCTCTCTCTCTCTCTCTCTCTCTCTCTCTCTCTCTCTCTCTCTCTCTCTCTCTCTCTCTCTCTCTCTCTCTCTCTCTCTCTCTCTCTCTCTCTCTCTCTCTCTCTCTCTCTCCCTGGGCACTGATGCTGTCGGTAGAGGACTGCCGTTGGCGCAGGCGGATCATGCGCGACGCGAGTCGGTCAGCTCTATAAAAAAAAATTCCTAACGTCGACTTCAAAAAGGTTATATCGACCATCAAAAGATCGAACTAAGCTATTTTCATGATTTTCCATCTTGTCTTAAAAAATAACATTTACGTTGTGAAGTATTCTTTTCTGACAGTGGCCAAAACAGCGGCCAGCCCCCTATGTATGTATGTTGGGCCGCGTAGGCCTGTGTATGTTGTGCCCTATGTATGCGTGCCGTACAGGCCAGCGGCGGCTGTGGACGGGTGCGAGCGGCTGTGAACGGGTGCGGGCTGCGGCTGTGGACGGGTGCGGCCGGCGGCGGCCTGCTGTGGACGGGCGGCGGCCGCCGGCTGTGGGCGGGCGGCGGCCGCCGGCTGTGGGCGGGTGCGGGCGGCGGCTGTGGACGGGTGCGAGCGGCGGCGGCCGGCTGTGGACGGACGCGGCCAGCTGTAGACGGGTGCGGCCGGCGGCGGCCGGCTGCGGACGGGTGCGGGCTGCGGCTGTGGACGTGTGCGGCCGGCTGTGGACGGGTGCGGGCTGCGGCTGTGGACGCGCGGCGGCCGCCGGCTGTGGAGGCGCGGCGGCCGCCGGCTGTGGAGGCACGGCGGCCGCCGGCTGTGGACGGGTGCCGCCGGCTGTGGTGCGCGGCGCGGCGGCCGGCTGTGGAGGCGCGGCGCGGCGGCCGGCTGTGGACGGGCGGCGGCGGCCGGCTGTGGACGGGCGGCGGCCGCCGGCTGTGGAGGCGCGGCGCGGCGGCTGTGGACGGGTGCGGGCTGCGGCTGTGGACGCGCGGCGGCCGCCGGCTGTGGACGCGCGGCGGCCGGCTGTGGACGGGTGCAGGCTGCGGCTGTGGACGGGCGGCGGCCGCCGGCTGTGGACGGGTGCGGGCTGCGGCTGTGGACGGGTGCGGCCGGCTGTGGACGGGTGCGGCCGGCGGCTGCGGACGGGCGGCGGCGGCCGGCTGTGGACGGGCGGCGGCGGCCGGCTGTGGAAGGGTGCCGCCGGCTGTGGAAGGGTGCCGCCGGCTGTGGACGGGTGCGAGCGGCCGGCTGTGGACGGGTGCGAGCGGCCGGCTGTGGACGGGCGGCGGCTGTGGAAGGGTGCCGCCGGCTGTGGAGGCGCGGCGCGGCGGCCGCCGACATCTGAGTGGAATGCAGCCGGGGTCACCGAGCCAGCCCGCCCCCGTCACGTGGTGCGGTCCGCACAATCAGCACTGGGTCACGTGGTGGCTGCAAATGCCCGACATAAGACGTTGGCCGGATGACATGAAGGCTTGTCCGCTGTTCCTGGCGTGCAGACCTTTGAACCTGCAATTTAGCGACTCAGAATTCACAGACCATTTGGTCTTCCCGCTGTCTGTGCGGGCGCAGAGAGCCAGGGTCAGCCGCCGCCGAGAGCGGGCTGGTGCTCCCGGCCGCGGGGGCAAACCACCATGTGCCTGCGGCTCCAGAGAACATGGTAAAAAGTGCACAGCACAGGTAAGGCTCAGGTCGCAGAGAAGGACTCGGGTCTCAGAGAGTGCCCAGTTCTCCCTGTAGGGCCCGGTTTCGAAGTGGGACCGTGGAGGCCGAATGCTCCTCACAGCCAACTCTGGCGCGCGCCCGACGGCCGGCGCCCAAAATAGCACCGTCACCGTGCCGCCGAGCCGGGCCTATCTCAGCACGGCGGGGAGGGCCCCGGAGCACGGCCACAGGGTGGTACACACACACACGCACCCACGCGCACACGTACAGGGCAGCCAGGACCATAGCGCATGACAGAACGGACGGGGTTAGCGATTCGTGACTGACAAGGTCTGAAGGAAGGGATGCGGGATAAGACTGAAAGGACACAGGACAAGACTGGGATAAGGCAGGGCAAGACTGAGAGGAGGCAGGGCACGTCTGGATAGAACTTGCAATGGTGGAGCACATAGTGCTGGAAAAGGCTGCAAGTGCTGCAAGGCACGGTGATAGAGGAAGGTTACGGTAGTGCGCAGCAGCTAGGATAGCACAAAATACGAAAATGGACCAAGGACAACAGGCAACCTTGGGTTCAAATTTCAGGATTGTTGCACATATGTCTGGGTGAGACCTTTCCTACGGCGTCTCGCTACGTTGCTTAAAGTGACCATCCCACCTTAACATTAGTTTTTAGCTGAGATAGCCATATAGAAACAGGGGAGATCCCAAAAAGTAAACAAAAGTAAAAGTCTAATATCTTGAAAACCGGTAAATATTTTTCGGGGAAATTTGGTAGCTATTCGTTTTCGCTCTTTCTGAACCGAGACACATCACTTTCATGCCAATTCATTAACTTTTTTGAAGGTGGGAGGGTCCCTTTAACCAGCGCAGAGACGGGGGGGGCGGCTGACCGCCCCCTGAGGTTTTTCGTGAATAGCGGGAAAACCGCGGCGCGTAGCGCGCGAAATTTGTATGACTTTTCCCTCATCGATTTTACACATGGTGTGCAAGTTTGAACCTCCTACCTTTCAAGGTCAGGTCACCAAGTCACTTCGAATGACCCAACCTTGAATCACTTTTTTGCAACTTTGTCCCCGTGTCAGAGCTACAGTAGATGACGGAATCCTTTGAGAGTCGTAGGATGTTATTAAGTCATTTATAGCTACATTTATTATATCTCGGAATTTTGATATCGATGACCTAAAGTCAGGTCAATTTCTTGAACTCCTCATTGTAAGTCAATGGGGGAAAAGTCAACTCCCTGTTTTTACCACTAAAACGGGTCGGAATGGCCCAATATATCATGAATGACTTTATATACGATCAACCTTGACTACCTTGACAGCCTTTTGTGCTCTTGGGCAGCTGTAAGGTCATCTGACGTCATCAAGGGTCACCAAAGGTTTTTTGCCAATAACTCCGTACAGGAACAAGATACAGCCACGCGGATGGTCTCATTGTGTTCAGCTCGTCAAGGCGCATCGAATGATATACATAATGAACTTAAGTTCACGTGACCTGAGGTCAACCTATGACCTTGACCTTTCGAGGTCAACTCATGCATGATTCGATGCGGATTGACGTGAGGATCACGATGGTGCCATTAGTTAGGGGAAAGTGGGGTAAGACGGTCAGGGTAGGTAAGACGGGCACCCCTTCTGCAGACCAAACCAATAGCGCTACGAGCGAGAAAAATTAGGACCAGAATTGCCTTTCCCACTACACACCACCATTGAAGTCTGGTGAATTTGTGTTCAGTCGATAATCTTTTATTTTGTTTTCTTTAAAACACTCATTTCATTGAAAGCATCCATAATGTATTGTGCAAGCTTTTGTGTGCAGCACTATAGAGTTAAAAACTGCCAATCACTTGTGGTACACTCATATGCCACCAGTGTTCATTTACCGCAGATTTGCTTTGTCTGCATCAAATTGTTCACAGAGAAAAATCGTGCTGAACTTCTGACATTGAGTTTGGGGTGGCAACTATGAATCCAATGGGTCTGTAATGGTGAAAATATTTTTGTTGCTGTAGGAAAAAAAGCATTTTTAATAAAAATATGTTCGATTCCGATACTCACAGACATGTGATATTTATTCACTTTCGATGACAACACAAAAACAAATATTCTAAATAGCCAGACGTTTCGGCCTCAGGGTGCCTTCGTCAGTGACAATATCGAGATACTAATACATTAATAAATTAATCAATATGTTTTACACTTTCAAAATACACATGACCTGGACATTTTTCAACCACTTTCAACCATTCTGAACATGGTTGAAAAATGTCCAGGTCATGTGTATTTTGAAAGTGTAAAACATATTGATTAATTTATAAATGTATTAGTATCTCGATATTGTCACTGACGAAGGCACCCTGAGGCCGAAACGTCTGCAGACGTTTCGTCATTTCGTGTCCAGGTCATCGAAAGTGAATAAATATCACAATGTCTGACACGATATACTCACAGACATGTTAGCAATATTCCTTCGGCACAGTTTATTCTCGAATATTGAACGTGAAAACGGTTCTACATGGCTTCTGAACTAGAGCCATATATCCGAGCATACGCCTTCTGCACAAATCACGTATACTGCCATTTCCGAAGCACTTGTGACCAACGAGCGACTGTATCAATGCAGCTAATCTCGGGCATTTGTTGCGATCTGTGTTGGTCGGTGAAAAAAGCTGGCCGTCTTGCCCTACCCATGTGACCGTCTTACCCCATGGGGTGGGGTAAGACGGGTTTTGCAAGGTTTTGCAAAAATAGCTGCAGTTTATTTGTTGAATCAGGTCTAAGTCTCATTCTTCTGGCAAATGGAAGTAAAATGCCTAAAAAAGGTTTTCACTCAGTTTCCCGTTTCTATGATGTTTCTATCCGGCCGAAAAAATGGCTCCAAAGTTAAGGTGCCCGTCTTACCCCACTTTCCCCTAGTTACTAGCTTGGCTACTTCGAAAGTTATTAGAGAAAAACTTCATTTCTAGCGCCGCCATTTTGATATTTTGACCCCTCCGACGTCATATTTGACCTGACCTGAAAATGACCCTTGTAAAAATTGTAGGCATTGTCCGTGCATATACCATGCCAAATGCCCTCCCCCTCCCTCGCTCACTCAATGGCGTTCGAATGGGGCGGGGGGGGGGGGGGGTAAGTCAGGTGCGCGTAAGGTAATTAAATGCTGGGCACTGCTGTTGTCCTTTAGGCAGAGCGTCTTCTTTGTTATGCCAGCGATATCCAGTAAGTGGTTGGCCTCCTTCGCCGCCGAATATCATCTGAATACATGAATGCGCTAATGCCACGAACCACGTGCTTTAAACTGAGATGACGCTTCAGCCGCCGGGAGACGTAGCTGAAAGTTAGCACTTAGTCCTTATTAACAACGTCAAACTACCAGTGAACCTTATCACAAAATAGTTTTAAAAAATAATGAAATCAAAATGAGTAAAAGCCGTGTTCTGCAGCTGAGCTTCAGCCGGTGGTGACATATCCATTCTACGGCCTTTATAAGACTGACCCAGGTGCCAATCTTCCGGACCGAGGGGGCGTCCATCTGACCCAGGTGACACATCCCACACCGAGGGAGCGTCCATCTGACCCAGGTGACACATCCCCGGAACGGGGGGGGGGGCGTCCATCTGATTCAGGAGACACATCCCGGACCGAGGGGGCGTCCATCTGACCCAGGTGACACATCCCAGACCGAGGGGGCGTCCATCTGACCCAGGTGACACATCCCCGGAGCGGGGCTGGTCCAGGTGGCCTGGGTAGCTGACGGTAGGTATAATATACTCACTCCGCCACCGCTCACACCGGCGCGGCGCGGTGGCTGGCCGCGGCGCCGGCCCGTGTGCCGTGTGACCTTGTGCCGGCTGCGATCGATCCGTCAGGTGCCCCCCCCCCCCCCCTCCCGCTGCCCGTGAGGCCGTGACGCCACCCCCGCGACGGCCCGGCCCGGCGGCGTGTCGGACGGGCCTCGGGTCAGCCGCGGCAGGGAGGCGGACCACCGGAGGTCAGCTCTCCCCTCCCAGTCCCAGGCGCCGGCCGCCCTCCCCGGCCCGGAGGCGGACCACCGGAGGTCAGCTCTCCCAGGTCCCAGGCGCCGGCCGCCCTCCCCGGCCCGGAGGCGGACGGCCGAAGGAGGGCCGAACCCAGTCGGGAGGCGGACGGCCGAAGGAGGGCCGAACCCAGTCGGGAGGTCGGACGGCCGAAGGAGGGCCGAACCCAGTCGGGAGGTCGGACGGCCGAAGGAGGGCCGGACCCAGTCGGGAGGTCGGACGGACGAAGGAGGGCCGAACCCAGTCGGGAGGTCGGACGGCCGAAGGAGGGCCGGACCCAGTCGGGAGGTCGGCGCCGGAGAGAGCCATGCTATAGTTACATCTGCAGTCACCTCTACCTTAATGTGTGCGGTTCAACAAATACATAGTCGACCCGGCGCTCGTTGCAGTAATTCATCTACGTGTAGGTATTATTACCAGTTATAGCCAATCAGGTATGATTTCAAGCTTTTACGACTAGACGTCGTAATTCGACGTACGTTTTTTCGACTACTAGTCGTTTATTGTTTTCGTTCCGAATTTTCGACCTTCGCATCGAGGCCGTCGTCAGAAATATGGCAACCATGATAATATAAAGCGTTGTGGACACATTTGAAAAACAATCATCATCTCTTAAAACGTGCATATCATCCCTCCAGCTATCTGTAATTTGAAACTCTGAATCCCAATGCCAATGAACTAAGGGGTAGGTAATTGTATGACAGAATGACTGGCTGAATGACTGACTGACTAAATGACTGACTGAATGAATGAAGGAGAGAATGAATGAATGAATGAATGAATGAATGAATTGAAAAGTGAATGAATAAATCAATGAACGAATGAATGGAAGAATGGGATGAAGTGATTTTCTACATGAAATACATAATCATGCTGTGACACATTACACAATACTTAGGTGAAAATCACAGAGTGCTTGGTCGTTGGCTCACGCACAGACTTCTCTATATATGGAGAAGTCTGTGGCTCATGCCGTACTACCAGCACTGATTCCATAGAGGACTGAATGCGGTACCATCTACTCGTTGATCGTGTTAGTTAAGGTCAAGGATTAAGGCGAGGGTTAAGGTCAAAGGTTGACCTCAGGTCACGTTCCCTCAAGGTCATCATGCATGCCATTCATTCCATGCGCCTTGATGAGCTGAACACAACTGAGACCATCCGTGCGGTTGTATCTCGTTCCTGTAAGGAGTTATTTGTAAAAGAAGCCTTTGGAGGCCTTTGATGACGTCATATGACCTTACAGCTGCCCAAGAGAAAAAGGCATCAAGGTAGTCAACGTTGATCGTATATAAAGTCCTTCATGGTAAATGAGTCCATTCCGACGCATTTTAGTGAAAAACATCAGGCAGTTGGTTTTCCCCTTTGACTAATAATGAGGTCGCGAAATTGACCTGACCTTAGGTCATCGATATCAAAATTCCGAGATACGCAATACTAATGATTTCATTACTTCCTGCGACTTTCAAAGGCCTCCGTCATCTTCTGTAGCTCTGACTCGGTGACAAAACTGCAAAGTAGTGATTTGAATTTGGGTCATTCGAAATGAGCTGGTGACTTGACCTTGAAAGGTAGGAGGTTCAAATTTGCAAACAATGTGTAAAATTGATGGTGAAATAATCATCCCAAATTTCGCGGCCGTAGCACCGCGGTTTTTCCGCTATTTACGAAAAACCTCAGGGGGTCGGATATCCACCCCCTTACGTCGGTGCGCGGGTAAAGTAGGTCAAAAATTGCACCTTTCGTATGCTATCAACATCTTAATCTCGCCAAAACATGCAAAGACTTTCCGCATCGTTAAAATAAGAAAGACGACAAACGCTTGCGGTCTGGTCGGGCGGACCGACTTGGCAGCGTGTGCCTGCGAGTGGGCCGACCGCGCCAGACTGTCCTCCGGGAATAACCGACTGAGCAGCCACCGCCAACCCAGCAGCCACTGTTCCCTCCCCCCCCCCCAGCAGCCACCGCCAACCCAGCAGCAGCCACCGCCAACCCAGCAGCCACCGCCTCTCAGCAGCCACTGACCCCTCCCACCCAGCAGCAGCCACCGTCAACCCAGCAGCCACCGCCTCTCAGCAGCCACCGCCACCCCCCCCCCCCCCCCCAGCAGCAGCCACCGACAACCCAGCAGCCACTGCACCCCTCCCCCCAGCAGCAGCCACCGCCTCTCAGCAGCCACTGCACCCCTCCCCCCAGCAGCAGCCACCGCCAACCCAGCAGCCACCGCCAACCCAGCAGCCACTGACCCCTCCCCCCCCCCCCCCCAGCAGCCACCGCCAACCCAGCTCAGCCACCCATCCCCCACCAGCGCCTCTCCCCCCCCCCCCCATCAGCCACCGCCTCTCAGCGCCCGCGCTGGCCACCCGGCTGCCCTGTACAATATACAAATACATTTACCCTGCGACTGCCGACCGCTCAGCCAAGGCTCAGAGCTGTACTGTACTTACACCTTTTGTAACGCTCACTGATGTTTAAGGTCGGAGGGACTTTTCGGATAGGCTATGTGACTTTTTTAGAGCGATGCTCGTACATACTCATACATACATACATAATCAACTCTTGAGATAACTCAGTCTTTCCATATTTATGCCAAAATTTCAGCGGCGCCCAGAACGCGCAGCACAGCGCCGCCCAGGCATGACAGGTACACTCGGGGGCAGAGTGATGTTCCACCACTCCCTACCTATCGGGCTCCCATGGCTCAGCACTGGCTGCTGCCAGTGGCAGCACTGGCAGCACTGGCACTGGCAGGCAGTGCTGATCAGTGCTGAGGGCAGGCAACACTGGCAGCAGCCAGTGCTGAGCCATGGGAGCCCGATGGGTGGGGAGTGGTGGAACATCAATCTGCCCCCGAGTGTACAGGTACGAGCGCTCGTACATATAGCACAACGCCACCCGGTCACGGGTTGGGGCATATTACAGCGCCGCCAGGAAGGCACGGGATGGGGCACAGTCAGCGTCTATGTATGAGGTATGTATGTAATGTACGTTGTCTTTGTCTTCGACTGTGGTCAGTGCCGGCGTGTGTGTGCTGAGGAGGGAGCCAGCGATGGGCGGTCGCGGCCAGCCGGCCGGGCCACTCACCTGGGCCAGGTGTAGACGCCGGACACCTCGAAGCCGTAGTGCCACGAGCCCGAGTACTCGCCCTGCGCCTTGGGGCCGGTGCAGACGCCGTGGCCGTGCGCCTTGCCGTCCTCCCAGCCGCCGCAGTACGTGCCGCCGTCGTCAAAGTCGAAGCGGCCTCCGTTGACGGTGGCGGCCGCGGGCGCCGCCTCCTCGGCCGGCGGCTCCATGACGGCGCGCGTCACTGGCGGCGCTCGGCGCGCCGTCGGCGGCCGGCGCGGCCCCACTGCCGGCACCGACGGCGGCCGGCGCGCCGGCGGCGCCACCATCGATCAGCCAGCCGCGCAGGCGCCGGCTCCCGGCGCGGCGCCGGCGGCAGCAGCCTTCGGCGCTCCGGTGTCACCGGTGACACGGCGACAGGCGCCGTCAGCGTCCACAGTACTGCGACTGCAGCCCTGTGATGGCCGAGCTGCACTGAAAACAATTTAACCCGGAGCCGGCGAATTAACCCTCGCCCGCACATAGGGTGAGGGGTGGTTGCCACACCCCCCCCCCCCCAGGTAGTTTTTTTTTGCTCTGCACTCAACATCTTTCGAGCTAAAAGGCTGATTTTTCGTATCGCTGCTCCTCTATCCTTTCTTAACATTAGTGGCAGGGGGGATTGTTTTTATCCACCCCTCAGGTTTTTCGGGAATATCTCCGAAACCGCTGAAGCTACGATGCTGAAATTTTCTGACTTTTCCTAAAACTAAATTGGGCACATTCCCTGAAAATTTCAAGTTCATAACTTTACCAGGGGCGGCTCCAGAGCACTGGGAATTGGGGGGTCCTATTCGTGAAGCGAGTCATTTGGGCGAAGATCACGATGCTGCACCATTTTTACGAACAGTGAATGAAAGGTATCATGTGATAACATATACATGTGAGATGATGTTTTTCGTACTCCAGCGTAGATGGGTAGCCATACTGCTTCCACGGTTGACAGTGATGACAACAGTCATCTATCCGGGGTTCGAGTCCCCGTATAGTCCAAATCTTAAACGAGCTTGCAAAAGATGACTGTTGTCATCACTGTCAACCGTGGAAGCCGTATGACTACCCATCTACGCTGGAGTACGAAAAACATCATCTCACGCTCTCAGTCCCAGCGGATAAAAACAACACCTAAGGATAACATATACAGTTATTGTGCATCCTCTTTTGACACGTTTTTGCTACCAGTATAGCGCCTTTTGGGGCGACTAACGGAGCGAGCGAGGGGGTGAGTCTTGCACGTGCGAAATTTCGAGGGGGTACCTCCAACTGACCTGTGCACGGCACCCTACTGACTGGTTTCTAGCGATGTGCCAAATTTGAGCACAATCGGCCCAGCCGTTCTCGAGATCTGGGAGCGGCACCCTGCACGTGCGCACGTGCTAAATGGGTCCCAACTGACTTGTGCACGGCACCCTACTAACTGGTCCCTAACCGTGTACCAAATTTGAGCGCCATCGGTCCAGCCGTTCTCGAGATCTGGAAACGACCCCTGCACGTGCGCACGTGCAGCAGCACCCCAACTCTGGCACATGGATATGCAGTGCCTAGTGGGTGCCTACCTACATGCCAAGTTTCAGCGCAATCGGCCAAGTAGTTACCGAGATATTGCAACAATTACAAAAGTGACACCTCTTCGTTTTGCACGTGGCACGTGCATAAGGAGTCACCCACATGCATCGGGAATAGTCCAATACTTGGTAGAAGGAATGAAGCTACCCTACAAAAATTACCGCGTGTAAATCGGTCAAGTGGTTGCTGAGATATAAGCCTCGCAAAAGCGTCCGCACGGCCGGCCGGCCGGCCGGCCGGCCGGCCGCTCATACTCAGAAATTTCCGTTATTCTACGTAAGACTCCGCTCGCTTCGCTCGCTCCGTAATAATAGGCGGATCCAGGCGTCCAAAAAGGGGGGTTATGTTTTACCTCCCAACATAGGTGCCCTGACACCGCCTATGCATGACCAATACAATTGTAGTCGTTCTCTCATAAGAAAATTGTAACATAACAAGACCATTACCACCCTTTTTAGAAACAGTACCAACAAAAACCTAATTTACTATACTTTTTGTGTACCACCAATCTCAATGATCTGTATCCGCCTATGATTTTTGAAAATGCATATTTTTTTGGATCCATGTGAATTTCTGGTTCATTCTCTATCGATCGGCAAAAGTTGCGTTAAGATTGGTTCAGAAACCTGGCCGTGATAAACAGTCTAAAATGTATCTGCAATTTGCCCGTTTTTACCCCCTTCTACCCCCTATTGACATTTTTTAATTTTTATTTTTTAGAAATGTAGATCACGTTGAGCGAAATCGAATGCCGTTTGAATTTTGAAAATCGGCCCGTTAGATCTCGAGATATCAAGGGGGGTCGTAAACAGCCCCCCCCCCCCTGCCACTAATAGGGGTAGCCAGGAGCCTGCCACTAATAGGGTTAATGACCACTGAAAATGTCAAGTTTCTGTGATCTTTTGTTTCGGAGTTATGACCTTGTTCTTCAGGTCATGTCATGACCCAAATGACAAATATCCAATATCTTGCGTTGGCTATGGGTCTTGAGAGCTTTTGACACCTTGATTTCGGCCTTTTTTGCCAGTCTTACCTCCCAACTAGCATGAAACATGCTGTTCGACGATGTACAGATGTCAAGGTCAGGGTCAAGGTGAACCTAGGTCATCTAAAAACATTGCGTTTTAGGCAAGCTGAATTTACTTTTCGTGAACTTTGGCTGTATTTTTGATAAAAGCTTCTCATTTCATGATATGTAATATGGACACATAAACAATCGGTGCACACATCAGTAGGGGAAGCCGGGGGAAGCCCGGGCGCGGGGGAAGCCCGGCCACCCCGTTTCCGGCTAAATTATTCACAATAAAATGCTCAACTGTTTGTCCTTTCAGCGTGGCAGCTAAGGTAACGCCAGCAAAAAAGTTAACCCATTTATGCCCAGGAATATTGACCATCATGAAAATCGACGAAATCAAAATATGTTATGCTCCTACCAGGGCCTTGCATGGAATCGAAAATAATTTTTGCCTGCAGCAAAAGTTTTTCGAGAAAAACGTAAAAAACATGCGTTGCGAAATCGCAACGAAGGGCACACCGGGCGCCATCAGCGTTGCGAAAACGCAACGACGGGCACACCAGACGGACATAAAGTATACACTGAACTGCCGTATATGCTAATTTGTTTTGACAAAACATCAATCAACTGTTGACAACTATTGCTTGAAAATGCGGAACCCACATCCGTCATGCTCTATAACCCGCCTAAGAGCCTCAGTGAGGAAGCATAACTTCATGATTCGCGAACGGGGAGATGGCAACACGGTCATTATCAACCATTTACGTTGTCCATTGCTGTTCATTTAAAGTTGTGGTCGACACGTATCCAGGGTGATGTTTTCTTTTTGGAAGCTAGACAGAGCCATTACCCCCACCTATCAGACCCCACACTAATACAATTAAACGAAGGATTGGGAGTAAACCAGTGCCTCACGTATGCGCGTATATCCGCAATCAATAGCCGCGTTTACATAGGGCTAGTTGCCAGATAGTGGAATTCCACTAACGAGACATTTTTTCCACTAACGAGACATTTCAGGCACCTTCAGATAATTCTGACGACCTATCCGGCCAGAAGGACCAAACCGATTGACAAAAATAAATACATCGTGGCGGATGAACACTAAAGAGGTACTTCAGGCCTAGACATAGTATAGATGTCGCAACTCGCGGCCTTCGCGGCAGTAAGGGCGAGGTATAGATGACGCTTCTGCAGCAAGTCACTGGAACGTGCGAGTCGTGGAATGGAACGGAAGATACGGAACGGGGGCTTCTTAACGGAAGCTTATTCGTTTTATTTTCATTTAAGAATTGATTTCGTGCGCTAGGGAAAGAACATTGTCTTCTTTTTTCTTACGTCTGCACCCCCCCCCCCCGTCCCTTCCATCCTTTGGATCAGCCAGTGTGCAGCAAGAGGGTTCATCGGAGAAAAACAACAAAGAGCAATCCTCCCTGAGCCTGTCAGGTCAGAAATAACCTGAGCATAGGCGGCGGAATGGGGAGGGCACCGGGGCACCGTGCCCCCCTTTGATTTTGGCATTTTAACATTAGCCCTATGGGCGCTGCATGGAAAGAATGGGACCAAAAGTCGGCGGTGCCCCCCCCCCCCTCCTTAATTGAAGGTGCTCCGCGGCTACTGAACCTGATGACCGTTCGTTATGCCCTACTGCCCACGCTTCTTAAAATTTCAGTAGTAGTCAGTTATCTGGCCAATGTTTCCGTATAGGGGTTGGCAAACACAACTGAGCCTCGTGAGTGGGATGAGTACTGGACACAGAAGTGGACAATCTGTTGGCAAGGAGCCCGCAAGGATAATATCTCGAAACTCAGGACTACGTATACAAACACTTTAAAAGCATCTAAATCTATACTATAATCGAAAGCCGCATTGTTGTGAACTACCGGCACGTGCGTCCAATCACCATCAAGAACGGAAGTCCGACCTACAGCAAGCACGACAGTCCGATCATAGATGTATTGAAAAATAACTAGCAACTTTAAACATCGCCTTCCTCAGCCACGCTCTACACCGCATCACATAAGAAAACCGCCAATATCGATTACAAAACACACATAAAGGAATTTCGTAGGTAGAGATCAGAGGAATACTTCACCTCCTTTATCTGGCGCGTCAATAGGTATAAAGTAATCTTTGGCGTCTACGCACTAGGAACATCTATAATGCAAACAGCAGTTCAGAAACCATCCACTAAAATTGCAACAAGGCAAGGGTTGGTCAAAATAAATTATAGTCACCGTGATAAATAGCAAACGAAATACAGAACGAGCAAGCACAACAAAGCATTCCACACTCGTTTAGACTGTACCTACAATATGCCTACATAAGACATTGCAGCAGTGTACAAGGGAAACATTCTTTAAAGATGCTAACGTGAGGAGTTTTAAAAGTTTGGTGAACATAGTTACGAGTCACTGCACAAGAAATGTCGCGGTCGCCAGCCGGCCCAGGCGAAAGAGTCGACGGAGACGGCGTCAAACAAACCCGAGAGGGGGTAGTTTCATCCGCATCAGCGGAGGCGCTCTCTCTGTTAAGGTCGTCAGTTACCAGCCGCAGCACCCTGCTGGCGATTTGATAGCTGCTCTCATTCTCAGCTGGCTGAGCGCCATGTGCCGGGTCATCCGGCTCCATGATTTCCCCTTTCATTAGCAGCTGCTGTTGTAGTTATTGTTGTTGCGTTCCTTTCAGCTGCTGCCGCAGCATAGCCGTACGGTTCTGGATGGTTCTCACGGCGGCAGCCAGGGTCACCAAATCCGTCTCCCCGTAGCCACACCAGACTCGGAAAAATGTACCGAGATGTACCGAGCCAATGTTGCAGCACTCGCGGCATTCATCGGTAGGACTCCGCCCAACCCAATGTCGGCACTGGCAGGAGCCCGACCAGTGGTCCAAGCGAAACTGATGAAAATCGACAGCTGATGAGCGGTCCTCCACTGACGCCGGACGGGTGGCGACGGCGCGGCCGGTCCTGGAGCTGGAACAGCAGAATGGACCGGATAGACGGCGGTCGACCCATATCGACCGGTACCATCCGTCCGGCCAGCTCCTCCAACACCGCTCTTAGGGCGAATAGCTCGCCGCGCGTGCTAGAGCAGAGGGCGCCTGCCGCGACACGCACCTCTCGGATGTCGCGGTTCGGGGGGGGGGGGGTGGCCCCTCCTCCTCCATCTAGCACACCATCGGTGGCGGAGCTGTCTGACCAGATCAAGCTCGCCTCAGACGGGAGCTCCGCCAGACGACTTTCCGCCGCCTTGGCTCGCCAGCCGTCGCGCCCAAACTCGCTTCAGGCCGTGAGTCTATAGCCGGCGCGGTGGCGTGGCTTCGCCATGGTAGCCTTGGGCGGGTTGTCCTCAGAGAACGCATTCGCATTGGCGAGGAGGCGAGCAGCGCCACGAGTCCTGAAAAGACCAAACAATATCAATAGACAATCAAAACTGTAAAAATTGGCATTAACTGCGCAACTGATGTTTGCTTGTTTGTTTATTAGGGTTTACGGGCGCTGCGGTGGTCATTTTGCACCCATGAAGCTGTTCTGGTGAACCTGCGCAACTGAGCAGTGATCATGCTATAACTTATGTTTGGCGTAGTACCAGGGTTCCAACTCCACCTAAAATTTCGGCGCACGTCAGGTGTAACGTCACATGCGACAAATTCAGCGCATGTCAGTTGGGCAAACTAAGGCTGATGGAATAATATAAAACGAGGGCACCAACAATTGATCCTAAATGACCATACTTGGACATTAATGCAGACCCTCTCTGTATCACCAATTGTCAGAAAACAAGCGGTTTCAAGGAGCGTTAGAGAGTCATGAAGCCAGGATAAAACACAGTGCTATTTTCTAAAAACAGTTTTTACATGATAGAGTTGGGCAACTCTCTCCCTCTCTCTCCGTTTACTATTCGCAAGGCCAAAAAGGCCAATTGGTTTTGAAAGACATTGGATTACAAGCTGAGAATTTTTTACTTTATCATAAAATGTTAAACCTGCGTGTAGATAAAGTCTGAACGGTGGTTTGTAGGCTGATAGGTTGGAGGTTGAAGGTTAGTAGGGAAGTTAAGGTCAGGATAATTTCTGCTTTTTATTTTCATTGGACTTCAGTCTTCATCAACACACGCATCAAAAATATCATCTATTTGAGCATCTTCAAGCCTCAATATACAAGTTGTACCACAAAAAATTAAAAATTGATGTCATGCCAACATATGGTCATGATTTTTACCACCAGAATTGAATTAAATGCCTATTGATGCTTTACCTAATATTTTGAAGCCTGAAATCTGATTAACCAAACATTTTTTTTCTTGTGTTGGCAGTCTAAAATTTGGCTGGCTTGAGCGCGATGCTATTGCTCTAGCAGAATCTCAAACGGATGTCTACCAAGTGCCACTCCCAAGAAAGTTTTTCAAGATTCTAAAACCACAAACTTTGTTGCTGCCTGATCGTGTGATGGTAAATCAAATGATAGCACTCCGTCTGAGGCCAGTTTTACAAACAGAAAATAGCCACCTGCCGGATTATTTTGCCTAAAGGCTAATTCACATATGGAGTGTAGGTAAATGGTGAAGCCCTCACTGCTTACATGCCTATCGCGTTTACCCTCTGTATGTTGTACCTACGTGGAATGGATATATGAGGAGAAAAATTCCAGGCAGCTATTTTTGTTGGTAAATCGGGTAAAGTAAAACTGGCCTCTGAACGAAAATTTGGACTGAGTGAGATGTCGGCTCTTTGGTGGTTTGGATAGGAGTTGATGATTTTAATTGAAAGATTAAAAGGAAAGGGCAGGGGCGCGGGAACTACTTTCCGACTGGGGGGGCACACCATAATAGAGATCAACCTAGGGTACCCCCAAATCTAGTTTTCTCACCGGTTTTAGGCCACTTATTTTTCACCCCTCGGCTTTTTCAACAAAAAAAGAAAACATTTGCAAAAAAAAGTGTGGTATTCCGTCTCAAAGATGTGGGGGCACCGCCCCCACGGCCCCAGAGTTGGGGGGGGGGGGGGGCAAGCTGCCCCCACTGCCCCCCCGGCTCCCGCGCCTATGGGAAAGGGTTTCAAGACAATCGGCATGACAAACCAACACCTTACCTGCAGTTCAAGTTTGTCGATTTCTTCATCAAAATCTAGTCTTCGTCTAGTCCACAAATCAAGATAAAATTACTGGATAGGTACAACTTCTTCTTCTTCTTCTTCTTCTGCACCTCACCTGCCACCCCCTACACTTCTACCTTATTCTGATAAATATCTTTACATAATTTTCACAAGAATGCCACTCAACGGGGTAGATCTAAAAGAGTGCAGGGCTTAAGTTTTGAGCTACAGAGTTCTCAGTGATTTTGAGACACCCAATATGTCTTTGGCACGCCGTATTTGTCTCTCACCGCTTGCGAATTCGGCGATATGATTGGTCGAAGGCCGAGGCTATGGGTCCAAGAAAAGGCCAAGATTCCTGCCAAGATTCTTACAGATAGCCAAGACCGATGACTGACGTGACTGACGGCATGTTACTGCCCTTGGCATATTGCCAATGCACTGCTCCGTCATATCGGCAGTGATGTCAACAGTCATATCGGAAGTAATATGGTAGCTAAACGCAAAAACCATTTGGTGTATGGCTACCATACTTTTCCGATAACGAGACATTCTAGATCAATCTCTCTACTGTTGGCGACATCTGCTGAGAAATCCCAAGACCGAACGCAAGCACATAAAAGTAATGCACTCTAAGGATGCGTTCGAAATCTGGGAAGTGACGGATTTCATTCCTCAATGCGTGTCCCAGCGTTCCCCATGCTGTTTGTTCCGCCATCTATTGCCATGTTTCGCATTCGCACTTCATGAATTCACCACCCCGCCAAGTAGGTTGGTATCAAGTTGGTATAGGTGTCGCATTGCTCTGGTCGATTAGGCTGAGCCAGCTGTCTGGAGAGTGGAGCCGATCCAAAAAACGCAGAAATTCAAAACACCGACTCCAAAGCAATGGCAATTGGCAGCATGCATATCGACATTAGAGCGTAATTCTGTCGTGATTGCGTCAGAAGCAAACATAATGGCAAGAGTTTCTTGTGTGTCGGTAGGCGCGTGTGGAGTCGCTGGACCGACCGGGGACGTACCCAAGGGGGGACGGACGGGGTGCGCCTCCCCCCTAGGGGTTTTCAGGGCCCATGCTGGCAGAAGGCCAACGTTGGCCAAAATCACGTCGGAGACGAACGAAATTCATGGGAATCCCCCAAAAAATCACGTCAGGACTCAGGACAATCAAGACTCTCCGACTCGCCTGCCACCTAGGGCCCTTCAATTTACTGCGTGGGGCCTCCTGTGAATAACCGCTAGTGTCTGTGTCTGACCACTAGGACCCTGGACCCCTCTGACTCCTCGGGTAGAGGGCCCTCTGTAGGTAGGAGGCTCTCTCTACGGGATTCCTCCGCTCCCCCCTCGGCCAAATTCTAGGTTATACGTGCCTGCGTTAAGCCGGGGTCGGAGAGAGGAGTTGACGACCGAATGACAAGGAGTACTCGTCCTGAAAGTAAACATTTGGAATATAAACAATCCAAAGCTGTTCAGTATTTATATCATTCGAGAGCAGTGCCTTCAATTTGGATACACTTAGCATTCATTTCCCACACCCGTGTACACTCCACGAAGGCTTCTCCGCTGCGGACTCCTGCTTCCGCCGATGCGTCAGTTCTGTTATGGTCGGTAGTGGCGATTAACACGGCGATATCCTTGGAGCGACACAGGACGACCGAAACACGATGGCGGCGACCATGGAACTGTTTATTTTTTATGTGCTTCCATATGACCGGGGGGGTGAGACCAAATGAAGGGAAAGGAAAACGTGCCCCATCACAACACCCCCCCCCCCCTCAAGACGCATGCGTCGGTACAAGATACGCATTGCGTCTAACACATAAACAAAAATGTACACCACACACGGTGTGGACGCACGAACTCAGTCGTACGTCTGGTCCGCCCAGCGCACGGTCAGTCGGGCCGGACGGCGACGGCGGCGCGTCCCACGGCGCACTGAGCTGGGGTCGTCGGCGCTGTTCCGCAGCACCGGTGGTGCCGGCTGTCCGCCCGCCGGCGCAGCGGCGGCGGTCTCCTCCGTGCCGTCGGGTGCCGAGCTCGGAGCGAGCTGCTGCCGGCGCCCGGGTGCAGGTGTGGCGGCGCCCTCCGAGATGAGAGATCTCTGGGGTCGCAGATAGCGCTGGTTCCGCCAGTAGACTCGGCCACTGGGCAGCCGGACCAGGTAGTCGCGCCGCTGCCCGACCGCCGTGATGACGCCGACGCGGTCCCACAGCCCCGACCGCGGGTCTTGGACGAGCACACGCTGACCCATGGTGAGCGCGCTGTGCTGGCGGGCTGTCGTGTCGTACCGCTCGACTGTTTCCTGTTGCTGCGCGGCGGCCCTGGCGTCACAGTCGTCCGCCGCCCGCTGCCAGCAGTCGGCGAAGGCCCGGTGGTGCGCCGGCACTGCCGATCTCAGCGGGTGGCCGAACAGGACCTGAGCCGGAGAGCGGCCGTCGGCGCGCGGCGTGTTGCACAGCTCCAGCAGCCCCTGCGCGTAGGCGTCCGTGTCGAGCTCGCCGCTGCTGGTCGCCTTCTGGATGAGCCGTTTGGCGGCCTTGACCGCCGACTCGGCGTGCCCATTAGACTGAGGGTAGTGCGGTGTAGAGATCTGGTGCTCCACTCCCCAGCGGCGCAGAAACTCTCGGGTGAGCCGGGCGGTGAACTGGTGTCCACCGTCTGTCCGGAGGGTGGTGGGCACGCCGGTGGCCGCGAATATCTGGCGCAGGCTGCAGACCAGGTCTCTGGCAGTCGCCTCGCCGGCCACGTGCGACACAAACGGCCACCCGGACAGCCGGTCCGCGTATACCAGGAACGTGCGGCCGGCCCAGGCGAAGTAGTCAGCGGAGACAGCCTCAAGCACTCGTGATGGCGTCTTTTCCGGCATCAGCGGCTCCTTCTGCTGACTGGGCAGGTACTGCTGGCAGGCCGGGCACGCTCCGACATGGTTCGCAATGTCACTGTCCAGGAACGGCCAGTAGACTACCTGCCGCGCGCGGCGTTTGGTGCGCTCGACGCCCTGGTGACTGGCGTGCAGGCGCTCGAGCGTGGCGCGCCGCAGACTGGGCGGTATCACGAGCCGCTGGCCGCACACCACCAGGCCGTCGTCCACGGCCAGCCGGTCCCGAACTCCCCAGTACGGTCGGAGGCGCGGGTCCAGCTGTGACCGGTGCTCTGGAAACCCGTTCAGGATCAGGTCAGTGACTGCGATGAGCTCCGGATCGGCGGCGGCGGCGGCGCGCACCTCTGTCAGCGCCGCGTCTTTGAACGGGCTGGGACCGTCGTCCGCCCCGTCGGTGGCCAGCCGTGAGAGCACGCTGGCGAGCTGATGGCTGGCGTCCCTCTCGGCTTCCTCGTCCTCAGGCGCCGGGTCATCCACCGGCGCGCGCGACAGCGCGTCCGGGATGGCGTGCAGCTTGCCTTGCCGCCAGATGGCGAGCAGGTTGAACGGCGCCAGCCGTTCTCGTAGCCGCTGGAGCCGCGGATTTTCGATCTCCGCAAGGCTCTTACTGTTGAGGATCGGGATGAGCGGCCGGTGATCGGTCAGGACTTCAAACCGCTGCATCCCGCCGAGATAGATGCTGCATTTCTTGCAGGCCCAGGCCAGGGCCAGCAGCTCCAACTCGATCACGGCGTACCGCGACTCGGCGTCCGATAGGAAGCGTGAGCCGCACTGGATCAGTCGCCACCGGCCTGCGGCGTCTTGCTGCAGCAGGCAGTAGCCCAGGCCGCCGGAGCGAGCGGCGTCAGTCTCAAGGACTGTGCAGCGGCGAGGGTCGAAGAAGTCGAGCACGGGAGGCGACGTGAGTGCCATCTTCACCGCGCTGAACGCCTGCTCGTGCGCTGGCGTCCACAGCCACGCGTTCCGCGGCCGCAGCAGCTGTCTCAGCGGCTAGGCGGCGGCGGCGACCTCTGGGGAGAAGGCGCCGAGCTGGGTCACCAGGCCGAGGAACGACCGTAGGTCGGTGATGTTGCCCGGCCTGGGGAAGGCCTGGATGGCACGGACTTTCTTGCCGTCGGCGGTATAGCCAGCCGAATTGATGCGAAAGCCGCAGAATTCGACCTCGTCTTCCGCGAACTGACATTTGTCCGGGTTGAGTGTGATACCGTGCTGGTCACACCTTAGCAGAATCTGCCGCACGTGCTGCAGGTGGGCGGCGTAGTCAGCGTCATAGGCCAGGACGTCGTCCACGACCTTACACGTGCGCGGGATGTCGCCGAGCGCGGCGTCACCGCGCTGGTTGTACACGTCGCCAGAGCTGACGATTCCCATTGGAGCCCTCAGGTACCGGTAGCGGCCCCACGGCGTGATAAAACACGTCAGGTCTCGTCTCTGTCTTCTGGCCGGATGGGGACCTGGTGGTACCCCGCCTTGCTGTCCAGCTTGGTGAAGTACGCAGCGCCGGGTGAGACGAAGGCGAGTGCGTCTTGAGGCGAGCGGACCGGGTACGTCGGTCGCTTCACGAACCGGTTCAGTTTCGTGAAGTGCACGGTCAGCCGACAGCCGGACACTGTGCCGTCTGACGACCCCTTGGCCACAGGAACGATCGGATGACACCAGTCTGTGGGGTGCTCCACCGGCTCGATGATGTCCTTTTCCATCAGCTCGTCGAGTTGCAGTCGCACGTCCTCTCGCCAACAGAACGGGATATTCCGGGCGGTGGTCACAGCGTGAGGGACGGCGTCGTCTGTCAGCTCGATCTTCATCGGCTCCCCCGTCATCTTCCGCAGGGTCGACTCCGTATCGAAGACCCTCGGGAACTCGGCTTTCAATTTGTCGAAATCTGCCCGCCGCTGCCGTGCGGAGGGGGTGCCACCGGCGGCCGGGCGGCGGCGCGCGCGTAGGGCCGGGCGGCGGCGCCCGCCCGGTCGGGTCGGCGCCGGCCGAGCTGGCGGCCGGCCGGTCGGCGGCAGAGACGCGGCTTATGTCCCGGGTCTCCTCAGGTGCCGCCGTCGTGCCGCTGCAGCGCCGTAGTGCGGGCTGTCTGCCGGCGGCGGGGGCCTCAGGCGGCTCGCCGGGCGGCGGCGGCTCCGGTGCCCCACCGTCCGTCCCAGTCTCGGCTGCCGAGCCGCGCTGGCAAATCTGCCGGGGAAAGCTCGCCGGTAGAATTCCCAGGCCGATACAATCGTGCCACGACAGCAGTGGTGAGTGCAGTGCTCGCAGAACGGACACCTGCACGGTCTGTATGACGTCACCGAGCTGAAGGGTGAGGGCGCACGTGCCCACACAGTCCAGCCGGCGGCTGTCGGCGGCCCACAGCACAGCCGTGGAGGGCGTGAGGTCCGCTCTGCTCACTCCCATGGACTCGGCTTGTTGCAGTGAGAGGGCTGATATCTCGGCGCCTGTGTCGGGCGTCCATACGGTCGTCCGCCTGACTCCGTTTGGCAGGTGCAGCTGTAGCCGGACCTGCGGCGACCGGTGGGCCGTCACACTGTTGAGGCGCGCGCCCGGCGTCCGGGCTGCCGGCGGCGCTGACTGCTGCCGGTTCCCCGTGTCTCTCGTGGTTGCATTCGCTGCCAGCACCGAAACCTGCCGGTGCGACGCGTCGGCAGCCGTGCTGACACGGCGGCGGCTGATTGCGCTACGGTGGCGCCGGCCCCTCCCCTGGCGGCTGCTGCTCGCGCTACGGAAGCGCCAGTCCTGTCCCTGGTGGCTGCGCTCGGAACTAGGCGTCTGCCGGCGCCGCTCTTCAGTGCCCGCGGCATGCCGACAGACCGAGGAAAAGTGGTCCCGTTCGTGGCCATCGGTGGCAGGTGCGACCCAGGGCGGGGCAGGCACGACCGTCCGTGTGCTGCGCGGCACCGCAGCGGTCACACCGCCGGGTCTGGTCGGCCGAGCGCGAGTCCGCGCCGCTCGG